ATAGCATCAAAAACATGAAATTCTTAGGGATAAATTTAATAAAATATATGTCAGACATCAACACTTGAAGTACAAAACATTGCTGGAATATGCTATTGGGAGACAGTTTTCCATGGGTCTTTGCATTTCTGCACGTCTTGAAAGTGAGATATTGATAATCCTTTTGTTTGAAATAATTCTTTCAAAATTGTTTGTAGCCAGGTGTGCCTGTAATACTAGCTACTCTGGAGACTGAGGCAGGAGGATTCTAATTTCCAGACCAGCCTGGGCAATTTAGGCAAACCCTGCTTCAAATTAAGAAAAAGTTAGGAATGTGCCTCTTGACAGAGCACTTACATGAGACCGTGGATTCAATGTCTAGTACTGCAAAAGAATTATTTCTGTAGCAATAGCTTTGTATGATAGAATGTCTCATTGTAACTAAGGTCAGATTTGCTTATTGTCCACTATAACAAAGATAGTATCTTCCCTCTAGGGAGCAGGGCAGGTTTGTTTCATTTCAGCCCATTATAAAAGATTTGGGTTCCTTAAACCATGGGTCTCTGGTTGTCATGCCATCTACCTGGGCCCCTCCATGGGACTTGGAGGCTACAGGGGAATTGATTATACACGATGCTCATGTTCCTTGCTGTACTACTAATAAAAAGTTTAATTTTTTTATCTCACCCAAGATTATTGTGTTTTCTGCCAGTATCTATGAAACAGTAACTGGCTACTTTGTTACCTTTTAAGAAGGTATAAAATCTGACTTCTCAAGGTTCTAGACAGTTTTGGCCATGTGAATTAAGCATGGCCTCTTGACAGGGAAGGATGAGGTCCTTGTGGGCTTGGCTAAGGGATCTGAAAAGACTCTGTGGCAACTGGTAGTGAGTAATTTGGTCTCACCCAGGTGGTAGGCAAGAACAGTTGGAGGAGACAGAGTAAGACTCTGCAGTGTTCTACCCATTAGTGAATATTTTGAGGCTTAGCTGAGAGGCCCTGTTGAACAGGCCACCTGTATAGTTCTTTTTTTGTATGTACCAAACTGAACTCCCATGGCCTTTCTTGAAAGGTAGTGTGGCTGTAGCTGCTGAGTTAAGGAACTCTCAAAGCTGAAAAAACAAAACAAAACAAAAAAAAGCATGGTGTCAGCAGTGAGGATATGGAACTTTGGGTGGATTGAAAATCTTAGAAGTTTGGTTGAGCTGCAAGGGTAGGTGTTTGGAACTGAAAGAAATTCAAGGCTTTGTCTTGACCTCTCTCCCCACCCTGCTCCTTGACTTCCAGTGCTTTAAGGAGAAAGATGAATGGGGGTTGGGCTGAGATGTCCTGTCCTTATGAAGGACTAAAGGCCAAACCCATGTATGTATATATGTTGGGAGAACTTTAGGGAGAGGATGGAGTCAAAGTTTATGGTTTCATTGGATGCCAGCACCAAATTGTCATACTACCTCATTTGGTGGGGGTGGAACATCCAGATTCGGTTGACAGGTAGGAGGCAGGAGGACTGAGAGTTTGAGGCCCAGGCTACGTAATAAGACTTTGTTTCAGAAAAGGAAAAAAAAAAGGAAAGAGGAAAGAAAAACTCATGATAATATATCACTTTTCAACCATTAGAATGTTGAAAATTAAAAAGACCCCCCCAAAAAATGGCCAGATGTGGTCATATATACCTGTAAGGCAAGAGGATCCTGAGTTTGAGACCAGCCTAGGCTTCCATAGTAAGAGCCTGTCTCAAAAACAAACACAGAACAAAAAATGGCCCCCCACAATAAAAGACTAACAATACCAATTGTTGGTAACGAAATGGAGTGGCTAGAACTTTCATAATTTGCTGGTGGTCATATAAAATTATACTACCAACTTTGGAAATAGTTTGACAGTTTCACACATAGTTAAAAATAAGCTTACATTATGACCTAGCAATTCCACTTGTAGGTTATTTATTCAGAAGAAATAGAAAAATATATCCATAAAAACTTGAATTTGAATGTTAATGACAGTATTATTCCTAATAGTTCCAAACTGAAAACAGCTCCTTATCTGTTGAGTGGGTACACAAATTATGGTAGATTTGTAGAATATTATGAATAAAAAGAACAGAACCACTAATAAGTGCAACAATAAAGATAAATTTCAAAAAGTCTGCTGAGAGAAAAAACTCATACTATGGGGCAGGGGGTGGGGGGTGGGTGGGAAATGAAAGAGAATTGTGGAGGGGTGAATTCAAGTATGATATATTTGATATATTGTAAGAATCTTTGTAAATACTCCAGTGTACCCCCACCCAGCACACACACACAAAAAAATTTCAAAGCTTTGTACTCTAATGATTCCTTTATGTCACAAGTACGTAACACAAAGTCCCCAATTTATGGTAGTTTGACCATGATTTTTGACTTTATAATGGCATAAAAGTGTTACACTTCAGTAGAAAATACACTTTAAATTTTGATCTTTTCTTGGGCTAGAAATATGCCCTGTGGTAATCTCTTGTGATATGAGGCAGGTGTTGAGCCACAGCTCCCAGTCAGCCATGTGATCACAAGGAAGCAACTGGTACCCTATGGTCCATTGTGATGCTAAATTATGGTGTTCAGTAGCTTAGGTAGATTAAGTCTATTTTGATTTATGATCTATTTTCCAGTTATGATAGGTTTACTGGGACATAACCCATCATAAATTGAGGAGCATCTGTATGTGATCCCATTGACATGAAGTCTAGTGTGAGCAAAAGAGGCAAAACTGTAGAGATAAGCCAGTGGTTGTGTAAGGTGAGATTTCAGGATAAGGGTTGACAGTAAAGGTGTAGAGTTAATTTTTTTTCCTCCATTTTTACCACTTATGGTAAAAATTTAAGATAATATGATTTTGCAATGAAAATGATTAACTTTGGTGTCATAAAAACCTAAGTTTGAAGACCTGGCTCTACCATTTCCTAGCTATGGGATCATGAGCAAATCATTTAACTTTTCTAAATTTTTTTAAACTATAAAATGGGGATAATAGTTAAATCAGTTGTCATGAGGGTAAATTATGCTCTGATTGCTACGTTGTAAGTCCTTGATATTAGTGGTTTATTCTGGCAGTAGTAGTATTATGTTAATAAGTATAATTTGCTACTCATATATGTTACTCTTTTTCTTGGAATGGGTATTGTATTTTTCTTTTTTTTTTTCTTTTATTATTCATATGTGCATACAAGGCACTTGTATCATTTGATCTGGAGGCTGAGTTTTTTTTTTTATTGTTCATATGTGCATACAAGGCTTGGGTCATTTCTCCCCCTTGCCCCCACCCCCTCCCTTACCACCCACTCTGCCCCCTCCCTTTCTCCCCCACCCCCTCAATACCCAGCAGAAACTATTTTGCCCTTATCTCTAATTTTGTTGTAATAGGAAGGAACAAGGGTTTTTGCTGGTTGAAATAAGGATAGCTATACAGGGAGTTGACTCACATTAATTTCCTGTGCGTGTGTGTTACCTTCTAGGTTAATTCTTTTTGATCTAACCTTTTCTGTAGTTTCTGGTCCCCTTTTCCTATTGGCCTCAGTTGCTTGTAAGGTATCTATCTGCTTTAGTTTCTCTGCGTTAAGGGCAACAAATGCTAGCTAATTTTTTAGGTGTCTTACCTGTATTTTTCTATTAAAAAAAAAAAAAAAGCCAGACAGTGGTGGCTCATGGGTATAATCCTAGCTACTTGGCAGGCAGAGAGTAGGAGGATCACTGTTCGAAGCCAGCCCCTGGACAAATAGTTTATAAGACTCTGTCTCCAAAATACCCAACACAAAAGAGGGCTGGCAAGTGACTCAAGTGGTAGAGCACTGCTAGGAAGTATGAGGCCCTGAGTTTATTCCAGACTTAGGAAGTTGAGGCAAGCAGGTCACACGTTCAAGGCCAGCCAGGCTACATAGCGAGGCCTTGTCTCAAAGGAGAGAGGAGTGTAAACAGAGAGGAAAGAGAAGAAAAGAAAGAGCTACTGATTAGCTTCTTACCAATCTTTAAGGTTCTCTGAGCAAATAACGTACTGCTGTTCAGTCTATTATGAACATGATGTACTGTCTTTAATACATGAAGTGATGGAACTCATGCCTTTATTGGAAGTTCTATATAACTTGACTAAAAGCATCGAAGTTCTTATTTGTCCATAATCTGCTTTTTTTCTTCCTTATGGGAACTGGGTATACACTTCTTAATATTTCCCCCTTTGACACTTTAAATGGCAGAGAAGTACTTGAGAGTATTCTTTCCAAACACAGATTTCCTTAGTGTGAAGCTAATTGATCAGATGTGGGCCACATAATCCATTTAACAATAGTTGCTGAGGTTGGATTACTCTAGAAATTCCTTTAACATAAATTTGGACATTTTTTGTTTTTTTGGAGATGGGTGGACTAGGGTTTTGAACTTAGGGCTTTGCGCTTACAAAGCAGGTACTCTTCTGCTTGAGTCACACCTCCAATCTAATTTGGACATTTAATGGATTTTTTTCTCCTTCATTCACCCTCCTCCCTCATTTCATGGATTATTTTAGAGTACCCCTCTATAGAACCTAGCTTATTGCATGGAGATTTGAAGATGTTTTCCTATAGGGAATATTTAAATCCCTATTGTCTTGTGTGAATTGACAGTTTTCAAGTCTGTCAATGAGATAAAAAAGAGGCTGGGAAGAAATAAGATAACCAAGCACATTAAAGATTAAAAAAATTTAGAACGTTGAAAATGTGTTTGATATGATTCTGTGACTTATAGTTATCACAATTCAATTAGTTTTGAATTGAGACATGGTGAATTAGAATGTTTGCTTCTAGTTTTGTATCCCATATGGCTTGTATTTCAGATTCTTGAAAACTAAGGATTTGTTAAAATAGTTTAATTCAAATAGGCATCAGAAACATCCTTCATTTAATTAGGCATCAGTTTTTAAAACGGTTATTTTGTCATCTGTGTTTTTCTGGAATTTTTTTCCTCTTAAATCTGTTTTGAAACTTTAACTTACTCATTTTTCAATTTTTATTACAGCACCTGATCACCTTTCTAGCAGGAGAAGATCATGGAGGTGGTGCCAGCTGAGGTGAATAGTTTGCTTCCAGAGGAGATAATGGACACTGGTATAACTTTAGTGGATGATGATAGTATTGAGGCTGTTATTGTTTCATCCCCAATTCCTATGGAGACAGAACTGGAAGAAATTGTCAACATAAATTCTACTGGTGACTCTACAGCCACGCCCATTTCCACGGAACCAATCACAGTGTACAGTAACCACACTAACCAAGTTGCAGTGAATACCACAGTTACTAAAGCAGATTCTAATACCACAGTGAAACCAACTTTTCCAAGTGGCCTTCAAAAACTTGGTGCTCAGACTCCTGTGACTATATCAGCCAATCAGATTATTTTAAACAAAGTATCACAGACATCTGATCTTAAACTTGGCAATCAGACCCTTAAACCAGATGGACAGAAGTTAATTTTAACAACTTTGGGCAAGTCTGGTTCACCAATTGTTTTAGCACTACCCCATAGCCAACTACCCCAGGCTCAGAAAGTTACAACTCAGGCCCAGTCAGGAGATGCTAAGTTACCACCGCAGCAAATTAAAGTAGTTACCATTGGAGGGAGGCCAGAGGTGAAACCTGTCATTGGTGTCTCAGCATTGACCCCAGGAAGTCAACTGATTAATACTACAACTCAGCCCTCTGTGTTACAGACCCAACAGTTAAAAACAGTACAGGTAAAAAAACAAACAAACAAAAAAACCAAAAACAAACAAAAAAGGGGCTTATTAATTAAAATGCATGTTAAAAAAATTAAACTGATTCATAGTTGTGTTTGTAGGGCTATTAATTGCATAGCTGTTAATGAATTCTTTTGAATGTTGCTTTAAGTAATTGTGTGGATTTTTTGTTTTTGTTTTTAAGCTTGAACTGTCTAATGCTTATGAAAAATTTTTGCCAGAGAACGTAGAGCAAACTTTGGTTAAATTCCAAACTATTATATTTATAGCCTTATATCACTTTAAAATGCATTTTATTCTCGATGGTAGCTTGGTTACAAGGATGTTTTGCTGGTGTAAAGATGCAGAGTTACTGCAGGGTTATCAAAAAATCATTCAGACAAATTTTTTTTTTTTTTTTTTTTTGTTAACCCATGGCCGAAAGCTAGCAAAACTTTGCTTCTCTGAGTTAGCAATACTACATGCTAGCCAGTATGTATCTCTTATTTGCAGTTTAAGGACTATTGCTGTCACTCATGTTTGCAATGGGAAAGATAGTGACATATGGAAGATGACATAGGCTTTTGAGTTGAACTAACTGGGTTTGAGTTACCTCAGGCTACCCTACCAGCTATGAAATTTTGGAGAGCTTTTGCTTTCTGAGTTTTAGCATAAAATGACTTATTTGGTCATTGAAGAAATACCTAGTGTAGTTCTCAAAACATTGAGGGTCCTTTAGAATGGTACCTATTAGTAGTATGAGTAGGACTCTAAGATAGAAGGTTATCAGAACATATATTAATGGTTTCTAGTTTTTCATGCCCCAGAAGACCTTCTTTAGCCACAACTACTCTTAGAAATACAATGATCCACTTAAGAGCAGGAAATTAAAATGCATTTTCTATTTGAAAAGGTGAGGAAAGTAGAAGGCAGAGTTAAAGTTAGTAAAGGAACTATGTAAGAAAGTAGGAAAGTTTGGAAGTACTGTCTGTTACTTTAGCTGATACTTACAAATAATGTTGGGAAAGAATTAGAAACTTACTTTTGATTGGCTTTGCATTTAAGAACTTTGTAAAAATTTCTCAAACCTTGTAATTTGCTGGTGTCCTTTCTGACACTGTTAACTATATCATGCTCTTTTTTTTTCTTGATCATTGTCATCTCTCTCTTCTCTCTGACTTCCTTTTACTACTTGTTTTTGCTGAGGAACTCTTGAATGATATATCCTATCACATCTTGTCCTTAGCTTTGAAAGTTGTTTATATTGGTTTACCAGAGTTTATCTGGCTTTTGCAATGCAGATCATAATCATGTTCATAAGTAACTGATAACAAATATTAGAATGTCATTTTTTCATTTATAAAAGGAATGTATGCATATGATTTCAGTAATTGGTGTATTTGTATCCACTGGTTTTCTACTATAATTTCCTGAGTACTGATAATAAAAACAATGACTGGGGTCTAATTCTTATGACTTGTTTTATTGCTGTTACTTCTATAAAACCTGATTATATTTATTAAAAAAGAAGCTTTGCTTTTTTTTTTTGAAAAAAGAAAAAAACCCAGAAAACCAAACAAATATGTTTAGAATATTGCTCTACTCATCCAGTTATTTTTAGGCAACTCATATCTTTCCAACTCAGAATAACCTACAAAGCTCTGAAGCACTTTGAAAAGAACTAAATAAAACTACACATCTATATTTTTTTACATTAGACACATTATTTCAGTGTGTATGATACTCTGTGTTTTTTGTAGCTAATCCTTAGCGTTACCTTAATTTTAATCAGAGTATTAATACTGTTAGGGTATGGACAAAAGGTAAGAGTGGAAGGAGACCCATCTTCAGAAGCGATGGAAAAGAGGTATCAGTTGAGGCCACAGACAGAAACAGAGGTGTAGTTATCTTCATTACAGATAAAGAGCCACTTTCCCAAGCTTTGTGTGCATGATTTATAAAACTAGTAAATAACTAGCCATGTTGGACAGTGTAACTCCTGAACCTGTCCAACACACAGTGCCAAAAGTTATTTGCGTGAAATATTTGGTGACACATTCAGCTATTTTATTTGTGAATTTTCCTTTTTTTTTTTTTTTTTTCATTTTTGTCTCAATCTGCTGGTTAGTTACACTTGTTAAAATTATGTTTCCTTACTTGAACTGGAAATTGTTAGTTTCAGCATTATTGTACTGAAAAAGCATAACCACAAGGGCAAGATGGTTCATTTGAATAATTTATGTGCTTTTGGTTCCATTGTTTATATTTTTTCCTTTTGAAAGTATTCACAAAGTCATATGATTGTGAAAGTCAGGTAAAAAGTTGAAAATATTTTAAGTCTTTTTATAGCTAAAGTATTTTATTACTAGAGATACATTTCTGAAGAGTATCAACCTTAATCATTAATGCTATGTATATAGTTGAAATTCGAAATTGCTTTAGAATTTTAGGTCTTTAAACAGTTAGGAAATATTTTTCCTTTATGTCTCCCTGGATTGCATCAGTTTTCTAAAGTACAGTTTTGAATTTATTTAGGTATGTCATAGTTTGACAAGAGGGATATTTTTTAATGTATCAATGGATCTCTTAAAAAAGTGATTTGTACTTCATATATATTTTATTGGGTCAGTAACGTGTTCAGAGTGTAAGAAAGTTATATATGTTGAGTGTAAGATAGCATGTTACTTAATCTAATTTATAATTTGAGCACACAGAACTGATACTTGTCTAGTTCTGTGACCTGTTACACCTTCTGGTATATTTCTGTCATTCATGTTAGTCATATTTATTCACTGAGTCAATTCCAGTAATAAATATAGTACTTCCATGGTCTCAATGTTCATACCTTCCAAAAGATAAGATTAATATTCAATGTCCTTCATACTTGAAAATTCTATGATTTTTATCATAGGTAAATTTCTACTATCTTTTACAAGAAGCTGTATCTTTGCATATGGTGATAATTTCAATACAACAGCTTTGGTACCTATACCTTCATTGACTTGTGGTGGATTTTAGTTCAGGTCAACACTGTGCCAAAATGTAACTTCAGATTGGAGATGAATAAGATATAGATCCTCTCTTCAAGGAATTTAAAATATAGTGAACAGTTATTTTAGTAAGTGATATTTCAGAACCTTTGCTTTTATAATAGTCTTTGGTCTACCACACCTGTTTCTTTCTACCAGAGAATGTTAACTTACTCAGTTCTTCCTTTATCTACTTCTAATATGTAGAGATCTAAAGTTGAAAATCTAATCATAAGTCTGTCTTTAATATGTATTTATATTTTGGATCCAGGAACTATTGTAATTATACATACATGTGTTTTGATTGATTCATCATTTGTACTATACTTTCTTAACTCCATCTTTTTATTGTTGAATAATTTATTTTGAAAACTAATATTGCTATGCAGTGTTTTTTATTAAACATTAATTTGGTTTTCATCATATGCATATTTCAAAGAGTAAAGATTTATAAAATGCAAAGGTATTTGGATTTATGAATGTGATCATATTAATAGTTTGATAAATGATGGCATTTTAAATGATTTTAGCATGAATACATAGATATGATTTGTTAAGTGAGTTGGTTTCACATGTACTACTGTGTATGAATTTTTTGTCTAATTTTGATTGAATAGGTGTTTTATAGAAATAAATGGTCTTCATAGTTATTTATATGTTTCAGATTGCTAAGAAGCCTCGGACACCAACTTCTGGTCCAGTAATCACGAAGCTGATCTTTGCAAAACCAATTAATAGTAAAGCAGTTACAGGACAGACAACTCAAGTATCACCACCAGTCATTGCAGGTTAAATTTCTTTATAGTTTATTAAGCTGTATATTTGCCTTCATTTTAGGCTTAAAAATGGCTGTTCTGCCACCTTAAAATGTTTTGTGCAACAAGTATACCTTATTATTATAAGCCAAAGTAGTTAATTAGAAATGTTATACTTATTTAATGAGTGCTCCAAGCAAATTGCCTCATAGAGAAATCAGTCCACTACCTTAGTCTCTTTACTTTTTGGTAGAAATTTACCATGAAAGTAATTGAATTCCATTAATACTACCTAACACTTATATAGTGTATAGTACATGCCATTCTTAACTTTTTACATGCAGTAATTTATATAGTTCCCAGGCATTCCTATGAGGTAGGCACTAAAACATTCCAATTTTGCCAGTGTGGAAATGGAGGCACCCAGCTGATAAATGGCTGAGCTAGGATTTGAACCCAAGCATTTGTCTCCAGAGCAGGTGTACTAACTCTAATAGATTTAAGTTAATACACATGAGAGTATTTTATGGTTTCTGTTTGAATTTTTGATTTCAGTATTTTAATCTATATGTACTTCTTTATGAATAGAAAGTTGTCACCATGGTAGTTATTAAGTGATAACAGAATTTTAGCTATGTTACCTTTACCAGCATACTTCTTAATGTGGCCCATTTCTCCTTTATTATGTACTTAAAATTGGTCTTCACCAGTAACTATACCACCTCAGAAATCTGGATTTCTTTTTTTTTTTTTTTGTGGTACTGGGGCTTGAACTCAGAGCCTTCACTTTGAGCCACTCCACCAGCCCTATTTTTGTGAAGGGTTTTTCGAGATAGGATCTTGCAAACTACTTGCCTGAGTGGCTTCTAGCCTCGATCCTCCTGATCTCTGCCTCCTGAGTAGCTAGGATTATAAACATGAGCCACCGGGACCCAGTAGAAATCTGAATTTCAAGTATTGTATTCTCTTTATTCAGTTTACCTGCCTTTGTACTTCCAATTCAGCAGTTTTTTGACTTTGAAGTCTCTCCATTGGTTTTCCTCTTCCTGTTTAATAATAACCATTTCTTGTCCTCAAATTCTTCTTAACTCAACATGGAGTCCATGACCATTGTTATTGCTCTTTTGCAAATAGCAGTGATTGTCTTTTCTCTGTCTTCTGTAATGGCTTGTTTAAGTCCAGCTCTCTCACTCCTTGCCTTGTAAAGCAGCCATGTAAGCAAGCCAGTTTTTCTAGAGAAAATCATGCAACCATGGTGACTGGTCTTTAATTGAGAGCTATAAGATTATTTCTAATTCTGTTGTGCTGAAGGCTTATATGGAGGCATCAGCCAGAGGCCTTCAAATGCTCATTACTCATCCCTAGAATGTGCAGTTTTCCATGCACTTACTTCAGATACTATCATATCATCCCTAGAATATATTTAAGCCACTTACTGTGGGAATTGAGGAAAAAAGCAAAACCCAAAGTATTTTTTACTGTCTTTAATAAACTTACAAATCTAGTAGTAGGTAGCACTGAAGTCGATGGCAGTGCCTTGTCATTTTTCTGAGGTTTCAGTTGTTTGTAGGGAGGCTTCTCTTTTTAGTGAATAAGGAAAGGGGTGGAGAGATCACATAGTCAGGGTAATGTTAGGTGTCTTTCTCTTTTGGCACTCAGTAGAAATTTGTGATGGTATAGGGGCTGGTGTCTTGAGGGCTATCATGGGAGGCAGGATGGCTCTAGAAAATTAGAGTTTGGATTTGGTGGTAGCTTAGGAAGTAGGCAGTGATTGGCTTGGAAGTGTTGATGAGAAAGGTGTCATAGGTCTCTTTGGAGGTTTTGGGTAGGCTCAGAGAGTTAAGCAGAAGTAATGTCTCAATTTAATATGTTATTGACTGTTTTGAGTTTGAGAGAGTCCCTTACCAACTTCAGTTACTGTGTCTGTGGATTGTATGCCAAACTATTGGGTTTGCTGAAATGTCTGAATGCATGTTTGCTTATGTCAAGAGTTCAGTCCCCAGCACTGGAAAAAAAAAATTGTGGTTGATTATCTCAGATTATCATGGATGTCATTGTTCAGTGTTTGGGTCATTTATAATGTATCACAAATTACAGTGTCGTCACCTTTTTATTGCAGATGGACTTAGTACTCTACCAAATACATATAGACTTCTGTTGAGTGTCACTAAAATTGCTGGCATTAAGTTTAGTTTGGAGAGATAATTTCTCCTTTTAACTAGTTCTGTATAGACTTTTAAAATTCACGTAAGTCCAATTTTACCACCAAAGTAGTTGTCCTGTTGAATTGTATCTCAAGTAGTCCTTCATTTCATATTGCAGCCAATGCTTTTTTTTTTAATACCTTGAGCCACTCCACCAGCCATATTTTTGTGATTTTTTTTTTTTTAAGATATGGTCTCATGAACTATTTGCCCAGGCTGGCTTTGAACTGCTGTCCTTCTGATCTCTACATCCTGAGTAGCTAGGATTACAGCTGTGAGTCACCAGCTATAACTAATGCTTTTTCAAAGTACATTGAAATTGTTTATACATGATTTCTGGCCTTCTCATTGTTGTGTTACTAGGGTAAGACTCAGGGCTTCATGCTTGTTAGGCAGGTGTTTACTGCTTGAGTTGTTTTGATTTTTTTGGTTTTTGTTTTTGGTGGTACTGATTTGTGAATTAAGGCATCCTGCCTACCACTTGAATGATACCCTCTAGCCCTTTTAGTGTATTTTTTTGGATAGGGTTTTATGTTTTCCCCTGAGGCTGGCCCCAGCTACAATCCTCCTGTTTATTTTATGTCTTCTGTTGCTGGGATTATAGGTGTGCATCACCACACCCATCTTTTTTGTTGAGATGAGGTTTTGATAATGTCTTGCCTGGTCTGACTTGAACTGTGATCCTCTTGATCTCTACCTCCCTAGCAGCTAGGATTACAGGCATGATCCACTGTGCCCAGCTATGACTGATTTTTCTAAAATGCAAATCTGATCTAACCTACCCTTGCTTAAAATTTTCTTGGCGTTATTCATTTCTTGGTCTTGACCCATCAAGATTAAGTTCAAACGCCAGTGCTTTCTTAGCATCAAAAGCATTTATGATGTAATGTATACCTTTTTCATTTTTACCTCCTATCAGCTGCACATCTACTTATTTAACTTACTTTAAGGGGTCACCAAGTGAATCCTGTTCTCGGAGGACTTAGGTCTTGGCAGTGTTCCTCTTACCTGCAGTGCCTTTGTTTGCTGTTCCTCATGGCTAGCTCATCGATGATATTTTGGCTTATCTTTTGGATAACCTATCTTGGAAGTTTCTGACTCCTATGTTTAGTCAGGTACCTCCTCTAACCATTTCCATGGAACTGGATTATACTTATCAAATACTTACCTTTAAACTTTTATTAAATTTCTTATTGCCTTTTAACTTGTCCATTATTCACTCTGTATGATAAGACTTAGTTTTCTTCTCTATCTCCTCTGTCATATTTAGGGTTTTCCTTGATGGTAGTTATTTTGTTTGCCATCTAGTTCTTTGTTTAAGAATTAATTATTTTTTTTTAAAGTAACATTTAAGTGTATAGTTCAGGGCTGGGGTGTAGCTCTGTGATAAAGTGCTTGCCTAGCATGCCCACACCCTGGGTTCAATCCACTAAAAAAGGTCTTAGTTTACAGTTCAGGGGCATGAGAATGTTCACATTGTTGTGCAATGTGTTGTCACCTCACCATCCCCAGACCTTTTGTCATCTTGCAAAACTGAAACCCTGTACTCATTAAATAATAAATTCCTATTCCTCTCTATCCCCAGCTTTGGCACTTGTCATTCTATTTTCTCTGTGGTTTTGACTACTCTGTATGCCTCACACAAATAGAATCATGTAATATTTATTCTTTTAAGACTGGCTTATTTTACTTACCCGAATATTTTCAAGGTGCATTCATGTTGTAGCATATTGTCAGAATTTCCTTCTCTTTCCTTTTATTTTTTGGTGATACTGGGGTTTGAACTAGGGCCTCGGCACATGCTAAGCAGGTGCTCTACCCTTGAGCCGCTCAGCCAGTCCCTTTCTTTTTAAAGGCAGAATAATGTTACATTGTATGTAAGTGCATATTGGTGATAGTTCTTTTATCTTGTGCCCACCCCCAGTACCTTGCATAGATTTTGGCACGTGTGGCTTAGTGAGTAGTATGTATATCGTATTAATAGCTATATATAGTGAGCATTTTATGAAACTGTATCTTTATTGGTACAATAGTTTCTCAACAGTGATTGTTGGGGCTCTGGGCTTATTCTAGAGATACTAGCTTTGGAAAACAGAATAAACATGTTTCTTAGGGAAGCTCAACAGTTTAGGCTATCTTTCTGAAAATATTTGATATGCATTTATTTAATTTATATAGAATTATCTTTATTAAGTTATGACATGATTCAGGTTTTTAAAAACCCTAGCAGTACATTGAACAGATTCATTAAGAAATATGTCAGTAAAATCAATGTAAACATATACTGCAAAGAAATTTTGTAAATTACCTTTAAAATGCTTTTTGAAATTCATAAATGAGGATAAAACTTGATTCACTTTTTTAAAAATGGAACTATGTATACTTGGGCATTGTTATAAAGAAAAATGACTCAAGCTGCTAGGTACTAGTCTATTTTTGTGTAAAGGGAAAGTCCCTTCATTTTTTTTTCTTTCCTTCCTTTTTCCCTCTCTCCATCTGTACCTACAAGTTCAGTCTTAGCAACTAAAGGTTAGAGGGGATTTTAGACATAATTTTAATTATACCTCCACTACTGAGATGCTTAACTTCCCTCTTTAGCAGTAGATTTGATTATCTAGCATCTGCTTGGAACACCTTCAGTAACTAGAAACTCATTTGTTTACACAAACAAGTTGTGGTCCTAGAGATGGAAGCCAGAGTCTTGTGTGTACTAAGCAAATAGTCTACCATTTGACCATACCCCCAGCCCTTAGTTGGATTTGTGTGTGTGTGGGTGGGTGGATGGGTTGTTGGGTGAGTGTGGGTGTGTGCGTGTGGTTCTGGGGTTTGAACTCAGGCCTACACCTTGAGTCAATCCACCAGCCCTTTTTTGTGAAGAGTTTTTTTGTTTTTTTTTTTTAAGATAGTATCTTGTGAACTATTTGCCTGGACTGGCTTTGAACCACTATCCTCCTGATCTCTGCCTCTTCAGTAGCTAGGATTACAGGCATGGGCCACCAATGTCCAGCTGGAAATTTTTGTTGGAAGTTTTCTTAGTGCTGAGCTGAAGTTTTGTGTTTCTGTACATTTGGTGTGACAAATTGGTTCTAATTCTTTAACCTAGGTCAGTCAGGATAGACAATCTTGGTTTTCCTGCCACAATAATCTTCAAACTGAAAAAAAAAAAAAAACTTTGGGTTTTTGTTAATGCTTCATGCATATCTACGTGTCCATGGTGGGTTCTAAAGAAGACTCCTCCTATGGTCACTGTGAGACACAGACTAAGGAAGGAGCCACCATCTCATATGTGGCAAAGGAAAAGAGAGCTTTGAGAGGCCTTGCTTAGACAGTACATGTTTTGACCTGGAAATGACGCATCACTTATACTGATAACTTATTGGCAAGAAGTACTCACATTACTGCAAACCACAGGATTGGAGGGGGTTTGTATAGGCAGTGCAAGTACATTTCTCCAATATGCCTAGAATACTTAGTGAGTGGCAATGACTGTCACATAGTCTTTCAAGAACTTGGAGATCTAGCATGCTTTCATACTCCTTTCTTGCCCAGGATAAAAATTCCTAATATTCCACCTAATTGCAGTATGAATTTTAATTCCCCAAGTCATCCAGAACACTGTGTTGTTTCTGAGTGGTTATCATGCAGAAGGGAGCACATTATGGAATTTGGCCAAGATAGCTAGAAGAGATTATGGGGTTCTCCCTCCCCCCCCTCCTTTTGGCAGTCTAAAGTCAGTATTCATTCTGGTAGTGTTCAGGTTAGTCCATCCAATAACTATTTTATAAGTGTAGATTTAAATTTTAACCTTCATGATTTAAGTACAAATGAGAAGACAGCTATATAAAGTACAGAGACTGAAGTTTTAAGACTTGGATTCAAGTCCTGACTTTTAGGGCATGTTGTGTAGCTGTCTTGACCTTGCTTTCTGATGGCTGTAACTTAACAATAGAATACCCTTATATAAACTAATATTAAGCATTATTAAGAAGCTTTATTATGTTTCTTTCTGTCTAGGGCCACCACAGTTCCTTAGGGAATCACTTAAGTGTTTGAGGTTGTATGTTGATACATATGAAATAATGAACATGCACTGAAGTCCTTGTGGGTGTAGATCATCATCACTTGTATTTTTATAGTGCTGTTGAAAAAGACTAGTCTGATATGCTGCCTCTCATTTGCAGGTAGGGTTCTTTCACAATCTACTCCTGGAACTCCATCAAAGACCATAACAATATCCGAAAGTGGTGTTATTGGATCAACTTTAAATTCTACAACACAGACACCAAATAAAATAGCCATCTCACCTTTGAAATCGCCAAATAAGGTAAAAAAAAAAAATTAGCTACAAATGACAAATACCATGGTTGATTCCTTTATGTTCTTACTCTTACTCTGATGCTCTTCAAATACCTTAGTTTTCATATATTCCCAAACAAGTAATAGGCATTCAGTGGATACTGGGTGATAAAGTAATCAAGGATTTTTACAGATAAAAAACTTCTGTAATAAACACATGTAGCAGGGTAATCATTTTGCATGTTAGGATGATTTTCATGGCCCAGATCAATATGGGCACAACAGAAGTCTTTTGACTGCAGTGTGCTATTTGGTTAGTTCTCCTCAGTTAATATTTACCAAAGTTGCTGTCTTTGAGTAAGGCACATATATAGTGACTCTATAAACATAAGATGTTCAAGTAACTTTTCCTTTTGAAAAGGATTTGTGCTTTTGCTGGGTAACAGGGCTCCTTACTAGAAATTGCTATTAGATGCTGGTAACCATATTAGTGTTTTTGGAGCTTAAGTACATTTTACTCAGAGCATTCATTCAAAAGCTTTTCATTTCAAGTGGTAGGATGCCTGTCTAGCAAGCACAGGGCCCTGTGTTGAAATCTTAGTACCAGAAAAATCAAAGAAACAAACAAAACAAAACAACACCAGAAGCTTTTCATAATTTGTTTTCATCTTAAGATGGCGAGTATCTATTATTTTACTCTCAGGTTAAGAAAATAGTCTAATTCACTTTCCTAAAACATACAGATATTATTACCAGCATATAAAAAGGTATGGGTTTTGGGGGTTTTTCTGATCAGCAAATAAAGCTTGTCTCTTAGCAATACTACTTAATTGACCATTAAGAAAGAATGGATTTTAAGTAACATTATACATCATTGCCAATCCATCTTAAAATGGACTAAATCAAAACACTAAGACAACTGATTAAACAAAAGTCTTAGAATGATCACATTCAAATTGTGTTTATAATCCTTTTCATATGCTAGTGTTTTTAGTTGTTTCACATCACTTTTTACTACTTTTAAGATAAAAAAATGAATTTTTCACAAATACTAAAGTGTTTTAATCATTTCAGTAGGATGAGAGATTTTCCTGGCTTATAGGAAAAATTAAAAAACAAGCATTTATAAACAAGGTATGTTTTAAAAATCATATTATTCAGGTGGAAAGCCAAGCATTATTATTCTGTAAGGTACCACCCTTGTGACTCTGGAAACATACTATCCTTTGTACCTGCCTTCTTCCTTGATTTATAACTGCTCATAAATAGAACAAACATTGGTCATTTGCCTTATGTAATATATAAATATGATGTCTCGTATAATTAATTAAAGTGGGCTTCTACCTGTTTATAAATGTAGACAAATTTTTCTGAAGTGAAATGAATTCAGTAGATACTTAAGTGCTTGCTGTGTGACATGCATAGTGATAAGCACTGGGGCTAAAACATGAATAAGATAAGGTTTTTAATTTCAAGGAATTCAATAAGGAGGTTAGAAGGAAGAATTAAGAATTCCCCATAGAGGATATACCCAAAAGACTGTTACTCCAGAGGCACCTGCACATCCATGTTTATTGCGGCACTATTCACAATAGCCAAGTTATGGAAACAGCCAAGATGCCCCAGCACTGACGAATGGATTAAGAAAATGTGGTATCTATACACAATAGAATTTTATGCAGCCATGAAGAAGAACGAAATGTTATCATTCGCTGGTAAATGGATGGAATTGGAGAACATCATTCTGAGTGAGGTTAGCCTGGCTCAAAAGACCAAAAATCGTATGTTCTCCCTCATATGTGGACATTAGATCAAGGGCAAACACAACAAGGGGATTGGACTATGAGCACATGATAAAAGCGAGAGCACACAAGGGAGGGGTGAGGATAGGTAAGACACCTAAAAAACTAGCTAGCATTTGTTGCCCTTAATGCAGAGAAACTAAAGCAGATACCTTAAAGCAACTGAGGCCAATAGGAAAAGGGGACCAGGAACTAGAGAAAAGGTTAGATTAAAAAGAATTAACCTAGAAGGAACACCCACGCACAGGAAATCAATGTGAGTCAATGCCCTGTATAGCTATCCTTATCTCAACCAGCAAAACCCCTTGTTCCTTCCTATTATTGCTTATACTCTCTCTACAACAAAATTAGAGATAAGGGCAAAATAGTTTCTGCTGGGTATTGAGGGGGGGAGCGGGAGGGGGTGGAGTGGGTGGTAAGGGAGGGGGTGGGGGCAGGGGGGAGAAATAAACCAAGCCTTGTATGCACATATGAATAATAAAAGAAAAATGAAAAAAAAAAAAAAAAGAATTCCCCATAGAGCAGGGTGCCAGTAATCCTAGCTACTCAGAAGGCAGAGATCAGGAGGATTACAGTTCAAAACCAGCCCAGGCAAATAGTTCTCTAGACCCTATCTCAAAAAGAAAAACCCATCATAAAAAAAAAACGTCTACTGGAGTGGTTTTTTGCGGTACTAGGTATTGAACCTAGGTCCACTGCTGGGCCAACATTCTACTATGGGAACCATGTCCCCCAGCACTTTAGGTTTTTTTGTTTTGATGATAGTGTAGTTTGAACTCAGAACTCAGGGCCTCACGCTCTCTAGGCAGGTGCTCTTCCACTTGAGCCACTCACTGTGCCAGCCCTGTATTTTGTTTTTCAGATAGGGACTTGCCAACTTTGCCTGAGTTGGCCTCAGATTGGTTTTTTGGTGGCACTGGGTTTGAATTCAGGGCTTCACACTTGTAGAGCAGATACTCTACCACTTCAGCAACACCTCCAGTCCATTTTGCTCTGGTTATTTTAGTGATGGGGGTTTCATGAAGTATTTACTCAGCCTGGTTGTGAACCAGATCCTCTCGATCTCAGCCTCCTAAGTAGCTAGGATTATAGACATGAGACACTGGCACCCAGCCTGGCCTTGAACTCTTGATCCTCCCGGCTCTGCCTCCAGAATAGCTGGGATTACATTCATGCGCCACCACACTTGGCTCAAGAAGGGTATTCTTGAATGATCTTAACCTTAATGGTGGGTGAGGCTTAGGTCTGAATGAGCAGAAGGGGCTTTCTGGTTTGAGGTAATACTTTACACAAAAATGTAAGTGTGTTGGAATTTCACTGCTTTGGTAGTGTTAGAGCTTGGGGTGCTAAGGTTAAATGGAAGATCTCATTACTTTCAGGGACTTTCTGTGCTTTCACAGTACTTACTAGACAGTGGTTCTCACCCTTGTCTGCACATTGGAGTCACCTGGGGGAGTTTTAGTAACTACTGACACCTCATTCTTGTCTCCAGAGAATCTGTTATAATCTCTGGAGTGTGGCCTGATGTGAGGATTTTAAAAAGTTCCCTACATAATTCTAATGGGTAACCCAGATCAAAAGCTGCTATTCTAAATAAAAGAAGATTTGCATTTTAAAAAGACTTGGGCTGGGGACATGGTTCAAGTAGTAGAATGTTTGCTTAGCTAGTGAGAGGCCCTGAATTCAAACCCTAGTTTCTCCAAAAAATAAAATAAAAAGAAGACTTGTTGCATTGTGAAAGACAGTTTGGGGGAAGGTAAGCTAGGTTCTGGGAGAGAATAGTTAGATTAATGATTCCCAATTGTGGCTGCACTTTAGAAGCTCTTGGGCTTCTTGAGAAAATGAATGGCCTTTAAATCAAAATCTCTAAGCTGGATCTAAGTATTAGATTTGATATCTTAGATTCCGAAATGTAGGTCAAGATGGAGAATCACTGTAATCACTAAGGGAATCACTACTATTATGATAACTCTCCAGGTTTGAGGTAGACTAGTAGCTGAGGGGTTAAGGAGAAAGAGATGTGTTTAAAGAGTTTTAAGACATAATGACTAGACATCAGGATCTGAGGGAGGGGAGAATGTATAATAGCATGAACAGCTAGATAGATGGTGGTATCGTGGAGTAACATGGCTAGTATATGTGTCATACTGGATGATAAACAAATAGAAGCTAAGCTTTATTTTACTGTCATCCTTTTAGCCATGCATGTCGGTCTTCCTTCCTTGCCTCTTGATAAAAAATTGCTTTTTAACAGTAAGAACAAGCCTTATTTTGGTGATTAAGATTCACAGGGATAAAAAGTGTAGTCAAAAGCTGACATCAATTTAAAGTTTCTCCTGGCGCAGGGATCTGTAGTGGAGTAGAGGAGTGCAATCTGCTCCTTCACTCTTCTCCCCTGCTGCTTCTTTCTGCTTTTGCTTCTGCTTGCAAGAAGATTAGAAGAGGAAAGACAAAGTTTTATATAATGGGGCTGTTGTAATCCAGCTGCTGGTGCCATCAATGTGGACTTTTAGAGATGAGCACATAGGATGATGTTTTTGGAGGCTCCTGTGGGTCTGTCCACATTTTCTGTAGGTTGCTACCTTTGCAACTTCCCTTTAGCTCTTTTCTCTTATAATCCACCCTGTAGTCTGTTAACTGCTATGTGCTTTACCCAGAAGGGACATGTTTTTCTCAGGGTTCTGTCAAGATGCATTGTCCCTTCTGCAGCACTACTTGGCCAGTGGGAAACTTGTAGAACCCAGTGGTAGAGTGCAGATTATCCAACCCACTGTCTTCTATGTCCTTCTCCTATGATTGTAATAGTTCATCCATCTTCTTTCTTGCAGGATTTACAGGCTGGGGCCAGTTTTTGCATATTCTGTAAACTGAGGATATGTGTTAGGTACTCCTAAGAATTCTCACTGTGTTCAGTTCTGGTGGCTAGATCAAGATGGGCTAACGAGTTTCTTTAATAAGTTGCCAGCCAATGATTCAGATGTCAGTTTCCCTGTTTTGCAGTTACCAACCAGTCTTTTCCAGAGGTTTTCTTGGATCACCCCTGCCTTTGTTCTCTGGATTCTTAGACCAGTTAGATTAGTGATTCTCAACCTTGGCTGCACTTGAGAAGCACCTGGGGACCTATTGAAAAAACTAGTGGCTGGCTCCTCTCCTTTCAGAGCCCATTTAAATCAGAATGTCTAGGCCAAATCTAGGTATTAGATTTAGTATTTTAAATTCCGAAGTG